GAATATGACACAGATAATATTATAGAAATTATTGAACAAAATAATCCTATTATGATTCGTGGAGCACTACCGGGCACAGGAAAATCATATATATGTCAAAAAATGGTTGATAAAAATTATAATGTAATTTTTATTTGTCCTACTAATAAACTATTACAGGCATTCGAAGGCGAAGCAATGACAATAAATAAATTTTTCGGTATTAATTATGGAGATGCTAAATTAGAACCATTTGATTTTACAGATTTTGATGTTATAGTATTTGACGAAGTTTATTTTAGTAATTTAAATATATATTGGAGAATAAAACAATTTGTAGAACAGAATAAGCACAACAAAATTATAATAGCAACAGGAGACACCAAGCAGTTAAAACCAGTTCAAGAGATAACAAATACTCGAGACTATGAAGTATATACTGATAACATTATAGATAACATTTTTGAATATAATATTTTGTTAAAAGAATGTAAGCGACTTCACACACAGGAAGATAAAGATAAACTAAGAAATATTAAAATTGATATTTTTGAAAATAGATTACCTATTGTGAAAGTTATTGAAAAATACTTTGAATATACAACTGACATAAGCAAATCAATCAACAACATAGCATTTTTAAATACAACTTGTAAAAATGTATCAAATGAAATTAGAAAATTAGAAAATAGAAAAGATGAATATGAAGTAGGAGAATTTTTAATTTGTAGAGAATATACAACAACTAAAACATCAGTTTTTAATGTAAATTTCAAATATAAAATTGTTCATATTGGAAGCGATGGAATATTTACGTTGAAAAATGTTAAAACTGAAATTCTACAGTCTTTGCCAGTTGATAAAATAAGAAGTAATTTTATATTTGCATATTGCTCGACTTGTCATTCTGCCCAAGGCAGTAGCATTGATGATACCATAACAATTTTTGATTATAACCATTTTTTGGTAAAGAATTATCCAGAATGGATATGGACTGCAATTACAAGGTGTAGAGATTTAAACAAAGTCAAATTTTATAAATATACGAAAGATATTGATGATGTATTTAATCAAAAATGTATTATGAGTTATTTTGAAAGGAAAATATTAAATTACAAAGAACAAGACAGGAAAGCCAAAAGAACAATACCTAAAGAAGGTTATGTAAATGCGCAATGGTTTTTAAATAATACCACAAATCAATGTAATTACTGCGGATGCGGTTTTTCTATGGATATTAAAAACGGTAATATAATGACAAATCTGACAGCGCAACGTAAATCAAACGAGTTGTCACACGAACTGAATAATATTATTCCTTACTGTGTTAGATGCAATTGTAGTTGTAAATGATAATAATTTAAATAATATTTTAATATTTCTTGTAAAAAAAGTATTTAAAGAAATAAAAACTATATATATTATAATAGAAATGGTGGAAACCGAAATCAATAATTATATCAATAAGAAATGCTACAACTGTTGCCACTTCAAAAGGGAAAATATGGAATTGTATAAATTAAATTTACCTAATAAAATATTGAATAATATTATTAATTATTCAATGGATGAAGAAGATGAATGTACAATTTGTCAGGAATGGAGAGATAATCAAGAATTAATCAGATGTCATTTAAATCTGAAAAGAAGACATAATAGAAATGTTGAAGACGACATTTTGATATTTTTAACTGTGTATGAAATACCGCCTTATGATTATGTTAAACAGTTTCTTAAAATCCCTAAGAAAAAATATGGTATGATTGATGATATATTAAGGATGTTGTGTTATAGTCAAGAGAAGGGACAAGATGTTAAAGAAAATATCAAATTATTTATTGAAAGTAAAAATTTTAATGTTCAAAATACATTGAGAGATATTAATATTATTTTTAAAATGATGTATGAAAGAAGTAAGACAAATCAATTAAATTATTATCCTGTACTGAAATTATAATCATAATATAATAATAACATGTAAAATATTATATGTTATACTTATATTTCAATATTTAATTCTATTTCTTGGAAAAAAGTATTTAAAGAAATAAAAGCTATATATTATTATATAGTGTGTAATGGCGGAAACCGAAATCAATAATTATATCAATAAGAAATGCTATGACTGTTGCCACTTCAAAGAGGAAAATATGGAATTATATAAATTAAATTTACCTAATGGAATAGTTAATAATATTGTTGATTATTCTTTGGGTAAAGAAAATATATGCAGAACATGTAAAAAATGGAGATATTACCAAGACGCAATCGAATATAATTTAGATATTAAAAGGTTTAATGAAAGAAATGTTGAAGATGACATTTTGATATTTTTAACTGTGTATGAAATACCGCCTTATGATTATGTTAAAGCATTTCTTAAAATCAGTAAGAAAAAGTATGAAATTATTGACTACATATTATGGGCATTGATTTATCATAAAATGGAAGGGGTTGATGTAAAAAAAATCATTAAATTATTTATTGAAAGTGAAAAGTTTAATGTTAAAAATACAGTGAGAGATATTAATAGTATTATTAAAATGATGTATGAAAGAGGAAAGATATATCAATTAAATAGTTATCCTGAATTTAGATTATAACCATACTATGATTATAACATTTATACCCTTATATGTTATAATTATAATGTAAGTATAGCGTTTTATATATTGAAGATAAAATCCTACAAGGTGGGCCATGCGCAACTCCGGAATATCAAAATGTTGAAAAATGATTAATTATTAGTCTTCTCATTGAATTATTGAAAATGTTGTTTCTTATTGAATAATTCTTCTTAAAATGATATATATATTTATCTCTTTTGAAAAAAATATATTTTCTAAAATATTTTGGAAAATGTGTGTTTTTGAAAATAAACATGTTTAGGTGTATTGAATTTTTCAAAAAATAATTCAATTTTTGTTTTGGTATGCAGTACTAAAAAAATATTTATCAAAATGTGTTTAGACTGTTTCAAAAAATGTTTTAAAATGGCTGTTTTGGTGCGCTTATTCAAAAAATGCAAAAAATCCTAGGGTGGACCCTAGACTTTTGAGTCCGAAAAAAGTTGCGCATGGCCTCTCCTAACTAGGGCGCCATGTGCCCTCAAATCGCGCCCACGCCTTCGAGCCGAGAGCAAAACCGAGCCAAGAGCCAAGTCAGCCAATGAGCCAATGCGAGGGAAACCACCTGGAGGGGTCCCCAACTTTGAGAAACACCCTGCAGGTCGAATACACTTTCCTCCAAAGAAGGGTGACTGTTGGCGTTCTCAAGCAATGCGAGCCATGGCTGTAAGCAATGCTTGGAGTCAGAGCAAGGGGAGCCATGAAGAACCATGGCCGCCCACTACCTGAGGGCCTCAACAGTCCCGGCATAAAAGGAATCACTCCAAATCCATAAGAATCACTAAGAATCGCGAAGACGCAACTTCATGTCAGATGGGACTGAGAAGATGAGAACCCAGAACAACCTGTAGCCTTAGATGTCTCCTCACACTTAGCGATACACTGGCAACCCTTTCTCGTGTTCATTCCAGAGTGTGAAGCCGTGCCACCGTGGGGCCTCAACAGCAGTACCAGCGCCGATCCACATGTGAAAAGGTCCGTTGCATATGGGCGTCTTGACAAAAGGGACAAGAACCAACCACCAGCCGTAAGGCTTAAGGAGAGGAAGCGCCCCCGTGTTTTTTGACGACACCTACTCTTGATCGACCAGCTGACCCTCCACAACGCAGGCATTAAGATCATCCATTCAGGAACAATAGTATTAAATTCACCTCCGCATTACTCTTACGCCTCCTCCAATTGATGCTTGATATTGTGAAACAAAGATCAACCTTTCAAATGAGAGCCGCAGAATCCCTGTATCTACCCATGCCAACAAAACAATCAACAAAAGGGCCTCAAGAAAAGGAATTCCTCTTCGGATGCTGGAGCAAGAACAAAAGGAGACCGACAATCCGGAATGAGTCAATGGTCTCTGCTCGAAGGACGAGCCAAGAAGTGAGACTCCCCTCCAAACAGCCCTGCAGACCGTTTCTGGCGCCAGGCGCGCTTTTCTCGTGTTTTCCGCCAATGCCGCCGCGCGCAGTTCCCCGCCCGGGCCGCAGAAAAGCTCCCCCAGGCCAAGCGGATGACCGCCCGAGCGGAAGAGCAGAGCCCGGGCGCTGACTGAGCAACGTGCGGCACATGCGGCGCTTGCGACACCTGCGGCATCCGGCGTGTCGAGATGCCGCGGCTCATAAGTTGGCAGGCGATCCGAGTAACTGAGTAAGGGCAAGGATCTCCTCAAGGCACAGTCCGAGCTACGCCGACTTCGCGGCAGAGTCAAAGCTCTGAGAACTTCGGAGTCAAGCTGCAATTGCAATGGAAATGCTGGATGTGTTGGCATTATTGGCGCTTCCTTGCATTACTTTGGAGCGTTCTCTTGGTTGCAAATGGCACTGATGGGCTTGCAAAGGCTTGCAAAGGCTATTGCCTTCGGTGGGCAAAACATGCCGAGGTGATTGGGAGACCAAGGAGTTGGCTCAACACACGAACTCCTACCCGGGGGAAGACTATGGAGCCAACACGCGCAACTGGCTGAGGAATGAGGCAAGAGACCATGAGCTCAAATCGGCAAATATATCTAGAAACGACGATGTCTGCCGCAGTGTGAACTGACCACCTGATTGATTCACACACCCATGGACTACAAACATCATCCTGCTCAATCACAAAATGCGCGACAATGATGGTCCAAATGAAGCCTTCATTCAGGCCGAAGGCAAATTACTGAAATCACTTTGTCCGTGCAAAGCAGCCTGAAGAAGTACAATCCTTCCTTCGAAGCTTCCAGAGACAAAGACGAGCAACTGTTGAAATCGGCAAGCTGCCTGCTTGGCAGACAAACTCGCAAATCCGCGATGCGAGAGCTAAGCAGCCACATTCGTGGAAACCAACACCACGGGCATTGAAAGTACAACAGGCGTGAGCTAACAGAGAGGCATCTTCCGTTGGCATGCCAAGTGCCTTCCTACATGGGACGATGTGGTGTTGGCAAACTACAAATTCACGTGTTACATACCGCTCTGTCCGGCCCCGCGCGGGCAGAAGGTCATCAAGCCGCTTTGGGAAAAGTCGGCAGACCACTACTGGACAACGACATGCTCTTCTCAAACTTCTTCATGTTGTGTGGGGTCCTGCGGCACTGCGCAAGATTGTGAGCTGTCGGACACGGATGGCGGCCCTGTCCAACCTCTGACTCACTCACGAATGAATCCAACAAAACGAGCCGCCAAAAACCTTGCAGCCAGAGCAGCACCAATGATGAAAACAGCAAGGGAAGCAGCTACTACGTTAACCTGGTTGCAACTAACTGGAGCAGAAACCAACAAGTCGCAAGAAACGGCCAAATTAAGTGCAGGGCTGCAAGCCGACCGGCCAGCCCGACAAGCCCAGCTGACCCAACCCACCCAACCCACCCAACCCACCCAACCCACCCAGCCGACCTATGCGACCGACCCAGCCAACTAGGCAATAGTATCAGCCAGCCCACCAATTCCAACCACGCCTTGGCCTCACATCAAAGACGGGTCCACGTCGTCTAGGACGCTGCACAAATAAAATTGAGTCGGTCCACCACCCGAGCCGAGGAACCGCCTGGCCCTCCAGGCGCCCAATTTCCCCGAGTCTTGGGCCGCCGGCCCGCTGCGATGCCCCGTCGCCGCGAAGGGCAGCCCGGACCAGTTGGGGGGCGCCTTGCTCAGTGCCAACCTTGGGATACTGGTCACCGCGCGAAGAACAACAAACGTCGGACGTGGGAAACCGCGATCTTTTGCCCAGAACAAAAAGGTTCCAGTGAAACACTTCCCGGGCCCCTTGTGGCCCGCGGTCGGAGGAAAAACCCACCAAAAAGACAGCTGAGCTTCTCGACTCGTGTTGGATATGTACGGGGATCTGAGTCAACAGGACATATGAGGGCTCCAGCTCGGATATATTTTATGATAGCTGTAGTGATGGAAAACCGCGGCAAGGGGGTGGATTCTTCTTTTCTTCCGACGGGATCAAGCGGAAAACTTCTGGTAGGAAAGCCTGCATGAACCATGGTCAAAGCCATCACCAGAACATCGAGCGAAGCCGACTGCCGTTGATGGCTGCTGGGACACTGCCCGCAAATCTGACCTTCAGCAGATTTGCACTACGTGCGAAACCAGGACACAGGCCATCACCAAACTGGCTGTGGGTCAAAACCAATGGTACCAGTTTGTGGTAGGTGCACCACCATTTTAGTCTATTTTAGTGGGGATTGGAATGTTCACTGGGGGTACGATTTGGCTGTTGACCTATGGCCTGGTTTTCGCTGGACAGGTGCAACACCGGAAACCGCTTTCGGCGGTAACTTAGGCCACAACTCGTACTTGGACCTCTCGATCCAGGGCGGCAAATACTGATCTGCCTGGCAAGCGGCAAAAATCCCCAGGCAGACCTGCGTATGTCCAACGTCCAACCCATATGCCAGGTCTGACTCGATAAAATGCCATGGCCCTTTCTGGAGGGCTTGCCTATGTCCGGAGAGATCTGGGGAAGCCTGAAATTATGACACCTCTGCAGAATCTGCATGTGCTCTCAAGTGGGCTAGTATTGACAAAGGTTAATGCGCCAAGTACGTGCTGCATCCGAGTTCTCAATTTCTGGAATCCGCCGACCCCTTTGCAAAAGCAAAGTTAGTCTCTGCAAAGGGGCGAGGCGTGTTCTAAGTGGTGGTTAGGGGGAGTCTGAGGGGGGGAGGGGGGGTCCCGCAGCGGATTTTTGACACGCCTAACCTCTAACCCTAACCTCTAACCCTAACCTCTAACCCTAACCTCTAACCCTAACCTCTAACCCTAACCTCTAACCCTAACCTCTAACCCTAACCTCTAACCCTAACCTCTAACCCTAACCTCTAACCCTAACCTCTAACCCTAACCTCTAACCCTAACCTCTAACCCTAACCTCTAACCCTAACCTCTAACCCTAACCTCTAACCCTAACCTCTAACTTAACCTCTAACCGTGAGGATGGATGATGATGATGAAAGACTAGGAAGATGACGGAAGACTACGGGAAGATGACGGGAAGCTGACAGAAGACTACGGGAAGATGACGGAAGACTGCGGAAAGCTGACGGGAAGATGACGGAAGACTACGGGAAGAGAACGGAAGACTGCGGGAAGATGGCGGAAGAGTACGGGAAGCTGACGGGAAGATGACGGAAGACTGCGGGAAGATACGGAAGACTGCGGGAAGATGACGGAAGACCACGGGAAGATGACGGAAGACTACCGGAAGATGACGGAAGACTACGGGAAGATGACGGGAAGCTGACACAAGACTGCGGGAAGATGACGGAAGACTACGGGACTGCGGGAAGATGACGGAAGACTACGGGAAGATGACGGAAGACTACGGGAAGATGACAGAAGACTACGGAAAATGACGGAAAGACTACGGGAGATGATGGGAAGATGACGGAAGACTACGGGAAGATGACGGAAGACTGCGGGAAGACTACGGGAAGAGGACGGAAGACTATGGGAAGCTGACGGAAGACTACGGGAAGCTGATGGGAAGATGACGGAAGACTGCGGGAAGATGACGGAAGACTACGGGGAGATGACGGAAGAATACACGAAGATGACGGAAGACTACGGGAAGATGACGATGATGATGATGATGATGCTGATGATGCTGCTGAGGATGATGAAGATGATGATGATGATGATTTTGATGATGATGCTGATGATGATGATGATGATGATGATGGTGATGCCGATGATGATGATGACGCCGCTGATGATGATGACGATGATGATGATGCATCGTCCTCATTCATCAGGTTGAGCAGCATCACCGTCATCCTCCTCATCAGCATTATCATCAGCGGCGCCATCATCGGCCTCGTCATCCAGCATCATCATCAGCCTCATCATCCCCGCATGAAGCCAGACGTTGGAGAAAAATCCGGCCCTTGTTATCGCTGAGAGAAAGCCCGGCTCTTCTCCGTCCCAGACCAAAAAGCAGCTTCAGCATCCACAGCATGCCAGGCATCACCCCAGACACCTGCAGGATGATGCCGGTGAAGCGGGGGATGCAAAAGCTGCCTTTTTTCCCGACATTCGAAGACCAAAAAGGCAGTTCCTGCATCCCCAGCAAGCAAAGCATCACCCCGGGCACCTGCAGGATGATGCTGGTGAAGCGGGGGATGCAAAAGCTGCCTCTTTTCCCAACATTCGAAGACCAAAAAGGCAGCTCCTGCATCCCCAGCATGCAAAGCATCACCCCGGGCACCTGCAGGATGATGCTGGTGAAGCTGGGGATGCAAAAGCTGCCTTTTTCTACAACGATGGAAGACCAAAAAGGCAGCCCCCGCATCCCCAGCATGCGAGACCTTGGCGCCGATCCTGCTGAGAGACGGAAAAGGGCCAGAGTTTCTCCAACGTGTGTGATGCTGTTACGGGGGTCGGCGGCATCAGGCGTCAGCCTGCTAAATATGAAGGCTGGCAGCCTTAAGGAAAAGGGAAGATTGTTTCTTGTGTTTACAGCTGTGCAACCTCTTGGCTCGCTACCTTCCACCAATCTCCAAGTCAGGCATGGAAGGTAGGATTGCTCATTGGATTTCTTGTGCGCATTCAAGCACAAACTTAGTGGCGAATCCTGAAGCCAAGAGCTTCATACTCCAGTTTTTTCACAGCTAAAACCAGGGAGTGGACCCCTTGCCAAACTACGCGGGGTTTGGTTGTTTCAAAGCCACGGTCCAACAAGTTCGTCCCTTTGAGCTCGTCCCTTCTGGTGCTCAACGGCCGCAACCTGCCTTGATGGATCCAGGCGCGCTGCTGCAGCGCTGAAGCCTGCGAAGTGCCCGCGGGAGTCAAGTGGATGGGAATACCTGGAATGAGAATGACTCTATCTCTAACCCAAAGAGAAAAAAAAAACGAGCTGCAAAAGAAAGAAACCCAGGCGAAACATGCCATGATGGCAAAATCAGATTGAATCCACGACGGCGTCTGCTACGATTGCAGTGTGGTCGCTTTGCGTGTGTGTGTGTGTGTGGGTGTGTGGGTGGTGTGTGTGGGTGTGTGGGTGTGTGGGTGTGTGGGTGTGTGTGTGTGGTGGGTGGTGGGTGGGTGGGTGGGTGGTGGTGGGTGGCGGGTGGGTGGGTGGGTGGCGGGTGTGTGGGGTGGGTCGGTGGGTGTTGGGTGCGGTGGGGGGTGCGGGGGGGTGGGTGGGTGCGTGTGGGTGGGTTGGGTGCGGTTGGGTGGGGGTGCGGTGGTGGGGTGGGTGAGGTGGGTGGGTGGTGGGGGTGGCGGGTTGGGTGGCTGGTGCGGGGGGCGGGTGGTGCGTGGGGCGGGTGGGGTGCGGGTGGGTGGGTGCGGTGGGTGCGGGTGGTGGGGGGTTGCGGGTGGTGCGGGTGGGTGTGGGTGGGTGGGTGCGGGTGGGTGTGCGGGTGCGGGTGGGTGTGCGGGTGCGGGTGGGTGTGCGGGTGCGGGTGGGTGGGTGCGGGTGGGTGGGTGCGGGTGGGTGGGTGCGGGCGGGTGCGGGTGGGTGGGTGCGGGTGGGTGGGTGCGGGTGGGTGGGTGGGTGCGGGTGGGTGGGTGGGTGCGGGTGGGTGGGTGCGGGTGGGTGGGTGGGTGCGGGTGGGTGGGTGCGGGTGGGTGGGTGCGGGTGGGTGGTGGGTGGGTGCGGGTGGGTGGGTGCGGGTGGGTGGGTGGGTGCGGGTGGGTGGGTGCGGGTGGGTGGGTGGGTGTGGGTGCGTGGGTGTGGGTGCGTGGGTGTGGGTGCGTGTGTGTGGGTGCGTGTGTGTGGGTGCGTGTGTGTGGGTGCGTGTGTGTGCGTGTGGGTGCGTGTGGGTGCGTGTGGGTGCGTGTGGGTGCGTGTGGGTGCGTGTGGGTGCGTGTGGGTGCGTGTGGGTGCGTGTGGGTGCGTGTGGGTGCGTGTGGGTGCGTGTGGGTGCGTGTGGGTGCGTGTGGGTGCGAGTGGGTGCGTGTGGGTGCGTGTGGGTGCGTGTGGGTGCGTGTGGGTGCGTGTGGGTGCGTGTGGGTGCGTGTGGGTGCGTGTGGGTGCGTGTGGGTGCGTGTGGGTGCGTGTGGGTGCGTGTGGGTGCGTGTGGGTGCGTGTGGGTGCGTGGGGGTGCGTGTGGGTGCGTGTGGGTGCGTGTGGGTGCGTGTGGGTGCGTGTGGGTGCGTGTGGGTGCGTGTGGGTGCGTGTGGGTGCGTGTGGGTGCGTGTGGGTGCGTGTGGGTGCGTGTGCGCGTGTGGGCGTGTGCGTGTGGGCGTGTGCGTGTGGGTGTGCGTGTGCGCGTGTGCGCGTGTGTGCGTGTGTGCGCGTGTGCGCGTGTGCGCGTGTGCGCGTGTGCGCGTGTGCGCGTGTGCGCGTGTGCGCGTGTGCGCGTGTGCGCGTGTGCGCGTGTGCGCGTGTGCGCGTGTGCGCGTGTGCGCGTGTGCGCGTGTGCGCGTGTGCGC